TTTTTCCACCAAGAGGGCTATAAACCCATGGAACCGCCTACCCGCTGAAGCCGTAAATGCCAAATTCCAGCTAAAAAATATCATTAAGACAATTGGCGGGCCCTTTAACAAGCTGCCGGCTTTCTGTCCTCTTCGAGGTCACTAGATAGTTAGTGGCCTTGGGTAAATTCAGTAAATATATACAATAATTGTCAGCGCATCTTCCGAGCAACAAGGACAGCTACACAGTATCTCTTAGAATTACGTAGGTAAACAACAAATGTAACATATTTGTTTACTACAATGTCGGTGCTGGCTGTAGAAGTTGAAAAAACATTGTTTTACTTCGAAATATACTAATTTTATAAGAAAATTCAACGTAAATAGGAGGCAGTAGAGCTCCGATAAGCCAGCACTAAATCTTCAATATGAAGAATGTTGCTGCTCTCTGATTGGCCAAACGAAACACAGTAGTGACCTCTATCGGCACGCAGGTGAACCAACAATTTTCTTCCTAAGTATAACTTATTGAATCGCACCTAAGCATCTTCTTAGGGCGCACTTAGGAACCTTCGTAGCAAAACCACTTACGAAGAAATACACAGAGCTTCCTGAATCTAGGTCAAGGAGGCGAACACAAAACCTCCGACACAGGAAAACTTACTACCAAACAGGCACCCCCACCGTTGCACTGCGGAACAAGGTGGAGGCGGGGCCCCGAACTCAAGCAAGGTTAGACAAGCATAGGAGGGGGCAGGAGGAGTACAGGCAGGAACCGCCTCTGAAGGGACAAGAGGCCACCCGCAGACACCCGTGAACCAAGGAAGGAACCAGGTGGAGAGAACAAGATCTGCCCAGTATGGGCTAATAGCCCTACAGTAGGCACCTCGGGTGATACGGTCCACGTTCTCAAGTACGTATGTACACCCATTCCTACTCCCAAAAACAAAAACAGCGTCAGGACGAAGGAGACGCCAAAACCGCACCAACTCACCTGCAGAACATAGGCCCTGAAGGGCCATGACGCAAGCGTTCGAGTCCGCATCCGCCGGAGGCGGCCAGTGCGCCCATGCTGGAGAGGAGGGGAGCAGTGAAGGAGGCTCCCCACCCTAGAACGCAGGGAAAACCTCATGAATTCCACACAGCGGCAACCCAGAACAGCCCCAAAGCAACGGGGCACGGATGGGAATAAGAAAAGAACGAGAGGCGAAGCCCCCCGAGAGAATTGGAGCAGAACACGTGTGCACACCACCCGGAACCAAAACAAACTCCTACAGCGCATGCGCAGGACGCGAAAGAAAGTAGCCCAACCAGGCGAGAAGTAGCCCAACCAGGCGAGAAGTAGCCCAACCAGGCGCGAAATAGCCCAATAAAGCGAGAAGTAGCCCAATAAAGCGAGAAGGAGCCCAACAAGGCGAGAAGTAGCCCAACCGGCTACAAGGAGCCCAAATGGCCACAAAGGAGCCCAAACGGCCACAAAGGAGCCCAAACGGCCACAAAGGAGCCCAAACGGCGACAAGGAGCCCAAACTGCTACAAGGAGCCCAAACAGCTACAAGGAGCCCAACCTGTCCAGAACAGAAGGAACCAGTATGGAGGCAAACTCCGGGACACGCAGGAGGAAGCCGCAAAGGCCAACCGCACCGCAGGCGAAGAGATGCGGTTAGCCGAAAACCTCCTGAAGACAGAACCGAAGAAACCACAGGGACACGGAACCGAACCCGGGGAGGAGCAGAACCCAAGCCCAAATCGTACGCAGAGGGGGGAAAGAAAACCCCACTCCTCGTAACAGGAAGCCCCGCTCAGAAGGATGGAAATCCAGGCGGGGCGCAATGGAGCCCAAGGCCCCCAAGGCCGCTCCTCCCCAACCCCAGGAGCCTCTGCACCAGGCCCCGGGGCCGAGTCGACCTCCAAAGTCCCGGCCTCACAAGAAAAAGCCGGGGCAGCCGAGAGAGCTGAAAGAGAATGGGGCCCACTGGTCAAAACCCCGGAGCATCGGCCGGAGGAACAGACTCGAATGCCTCCGCAGCTTCCCCGGACGGGGCAACCCCCGAAACTGCCCAAGTCTCAGAACCTCTAACCCCGCCCCGACCCCGAAGCCTGCAGATGGGTAGGGGCCGGAAGCAGGAGGGGGAAAAACAAGGGAGGCGTGGAAGGAACCAAGGCCGAAGCGACCAAAACCACCCAAGTCTGGGTCCCTATACAAGCGGGGCAGCATCGGGGCGTCCGGGGAAGTGACAGACCAGAGCGCGTTGCAACATCCTACCCTGCAACGCGCGAGCTGCCTGCACCCACGGGAATTCATCAGCAGACTGGGTGAATGGAGTCACGAACAGGCAACAAAGCTCGCAGGACTCATGGGTCGAATGTGTCACCGACCCAACAGGCAGCATGACGGAGGCAAAAACAAGGAGTCACCCTGAGACAAAGGGACAGAGCAACCCTCAACTCGCACAAAGCGAGAGGGGACGCAAGGGTCTCCACTATCGGACCCGAGAGCCCCCGGGGGGTTTCCCAGGGCCCCTAGACTGGGTCTGCTAAGGGTTATCCCAGGCAGGGTACTGCTAACCGGCGCCCCAAACTACCAAGCAAACTGCTAAAGCTGAACCCACGGGACATGTCCACTCGCGAGAGCAAAGCAGGGGGTGCCACCACACAAACGAACCTAATATAAGGAGGGGGGGGAACACAAGGAAGACCCCCCTACCAGGCAAAAACAAAAATAAAAGAAAAAACCACACAAGTGGACAACGTACCCAGAGGGAACAGAGCCGGCCGCTGTCATAGGTGAAAACTAGCTACGCAGTACCCTGCGCCCCACCAGTGCGATAACTACCACTTACCCCAAGGTAAACAAGGGAGTGAAACCCCCAAACCCTCGGGGCGGCCAAACGCCAAGCAGCGAAAAGCCAACAGAGGTAGACCCAAGGTGACTTGTGGAAGGCAACCCCAAGCCCCAAGGGCGGTACTTACAGGGCACTCAGGGAAGGTGACCCTAAGCACATGCAGCCCGAGTACCTGAGAATACTACTCCCAGCTCACATGACCACCGTAAGAGAAGCACTGCAAACAAGTCACAGCACTGAGACAAGACCGGAGCTGGAGCCACACGACCGTGCATGATCCCATCAGCCGAGGAACTGGGGCGGCAACCCGTTCTCGCAAATTCGTAAAGTCAATATTGACTTATTAAATAAGTGCATAGGTGACATACTAAACATAATAGATACCCTTAAAAAGCTTCATAGAAAACACCGACCTTACCTAACCTTGTTAGTATCTTAAGATAAGCATCTTATAGCTTCGTAATTACAATTGTTACTTAACCTATTATAGGTATAGGTTAAGTAATAATTGTAATTACGAAGCAATAAGATGCTTATCTTAAGATACTAACAAGGTTAGGTAAGGTCGGTGTTTTCTATGAAGCTTTTTAAGGGTATCTATTATGTTTAGTATATCACCTATGCACGTAGTTAATAAGTCAATATTGACTTTACGAATTTGCGAGAACGGGTTGGGGGTGGGGATCGCCGGCGCGGGGGTCTGGAGCTCCCCCTTCCTCCACTAGCTGCGCAGACATGCGGCGCGGCTCTTTACTTTAAATTTACATGACGTCATGCTTGTTAGTTCGTTTTCCTGGGGGAGTTCTGTCCACTCGTTTGTCGATTTTTGTTGTTTAACCAGAATAGGGGTTTGTTTTGTGGCGCTTACCTTTCTGGGTGCCTGTCCCGGTCGATGGCAGATATAGAATGCTCCAAATCACATGTGCATTTCTATGGGCCATTGCTCCCCGTGCCTCTCTGAGGGGGCCAGGTTCTGGCTCGTGGTCCCCGGTAGGCCTAGAACTCCACCCACATCGACTGATGCAAAATAGTTAGGGTATCCATATCAGCCATGGATAGCTCCGAGGAGCTGTAGGGGCTCCCCCCAGAAAAGTGTTTTTCGATGTGTTGACATAAGCATGCTGAACAGCTATATGTATCTGGTGAAAACTGGACGTAAACCAAGTTTCCGTTCGTTTGCTTTTACACTTGGGACACAGTTATTAGCAAAGTTTGGCAAAGATGTTCCTGGCATACAAAGACCCATCATGAACCCAGTGTTGCAGCATGCTGCTACACCCAGGCTCACTCACATTGAGGGCTTTCAAGCACACAGACTAAAACATTTGCCACCAGCTGGAAAGCGTGCAATAGGCCAACGTGATTGCTTAGTTTGTAGAACAATAAAAGAGATCAGAAACGTAAACTTGTGCAAACATGGTGTGAAGCATGTGCATTCTCATTGTGTGCTGTCAACTGCTGCAACAACTATCACTCTCTCCAAGAATTCTAAATGTGCAATAATAGTGCAAAAACCTGTAAATAGTGTGTGCATGTGCGTAAATATAATAATGAACAATGTGAATACATATCATATTTGCATAATGGGAAAATATTTTTGTGTGCATGTGTATACTCAATGTATGCAACATTTATTACCATTGAACATGAAGTAACATTATATGCAACACAATTAGTGAATAATATTTGTGATAAAATACGCCTAGACACTGTAAATAATGCAGCAAAAATAAATTTGTGGCAATTCTGACTGCTTGAGGACTGCGCGCAATGCCTCTGGGACGCACCTTGCATGAGCAAGCTTGCAGGGTGTGACGTCATCGCTCATATTGTCGGCTCATTTATGTCATTTGTAAGTACGATTAATTTTTTTCTCTCTCGTGGTCAGGGAACACAAATTAACAGGTTAGGAAAAATTTTTTTTTTCTTTTTTGTTACACGCCTGTGGGCGACAAGGGACAAATCGCCCTTAGCAACACAAGGGTTAATACACTCACCATCACAGGGTAATGACAATATAATTAATACACTCGCCATCACTGGTAAATGACAACACCAACATTAATACACTAGTTAATGAAAATATCTTGATTAATACACTCACAATCACTGGTTATTGACATCAACATGATAAACACACACACTGGTAGTACAGTAAGAATAAAATTGTCCTTACCATCATTAATGGGCAGAAGTTGTTTGCTATCGTCCTGGGTAGCCGAGCAGAGACTGGAAGCAGTATTACCTATTAAGGCAAAATAAAACAAATTTAAGGTTTCTATGACTAAATTTTTCCCACCAAAACACAGTAAATGTTTAGAAAAATTAAATAATTTTTTTTAGGTATTATGCTTTGAGCAAAAGTAAGGAGGGTGGGCATGAGTAAGGAGGCTGGGCAGGAATAAGGAGGGTGGGCAGTAATAAGGAGGGTGGGCAGCAATAAGGAGGGTGGACAGGAGTAAGGAGGGTGGGCAGGAGTGGGGAGGATGGGCAGGAATAAGGAGGGTGGGCAGGAGTAAGGAGGGTGGGCAGGAGTGGGGAGGATGGGCAGGAATAAGGAGGGTGGGCAGGAATAAGAAGGGTGGGCAAGAGTAAGGAGGGTGGGCAGAAATAAGGAGGGTGGGCAGGAGTAAGGAGGGTGGGCTGGAGAAAGGGGGGTAGCCAGGAGTAATGAGGGTGGGCAGGAGTACGGAGAGTTGGCAGGAGTACGGAGAGTGGGCAGGAGTAAGGAAGGTGGGCTGGAGTAAGGAAGGTGGGCTGGAGTAAGAAGGGTGGACAGCAATAAGGAGGGTGGGCAGGAGTAAGGAGGGTGGGCAGGAGTATGGAGAGTGGGCAGGAGTATGGAGAGTGGGCAGGAGTAAGGAAGGTGGGCTGGAGTAAGGAAGGTGGGCTGGAGTAAGGAAGGTGGGCTGGAATAAGGAGGGTGGGCAGGAGTAAGAAGGGTGGGCAGCAATAAGGAGGGTGGGCAGGAGTAAGGAGGGTGGGCAGGAAAGGGGAAGGGGGTATGGGCAGGTTCTCGGCTGCCTCCCCTCCCTCTCTAACAGCCTACGTAATACAAACCACATGCATTAACCCTAAAGCTGCTAGAGCCTGGGCTGTAAAAGCTGGGGCTGGGCAAAAAATATTTGAATTATGTGAAAATTAATATTAAATGTTAAACAAATCTCCAACTTATTGGCTTAAGTGTCATGAAAGTTTCATTCCAATATGTTCAGAAATGTATTTTAGACAATTTTTTTTAAAAAGGAGAACATTTTGTTGATAAGGAGAACAGCTCCTGTTAACTGGAAATGAGGGATAATGCAGTAATAAAGAGATGTAAGCACTTGTCCAATGTACAAAGAAGAATAGTAGCAAGAAGTATCCACAAAGTGGATATGCAGCTGGTGCCTGTATACCATTGCTGAGTAATACATAATAATACCAATAATAATGAGTATGTTATCATGCTCTATTTTGTTATATATCATAAAAATGCATTGCCTAATGTTAATTTCTGTTACTTTCACAAATGTCCAATTTTTTTTTTTTTGGGGGGGGGGGAGATTTGTTTTTTCTCCTTTGTTTATTATCAGATTTTGTTGTAACCTCTACATCCTGGAGAGTGCATACCCATCCCTAACTATGTCAAGATAGAATGAAATTGGTCATCAAATAAATCAGTCACAACTGGCAGAACTTGGGACTGAATTTTGTTACCGAGTTTTTCAGATTTCAAATTCTATTTTCTTTGTATCTATAGGTGGTTTTGATGATTAGGGCTTTATAACTTTTATACAGAATACATTTTTATCCCTTAATTAAATCCCTAGTTAATAACTATATTTTGTTTCTTGGGGAGGGGGGGTATTTTTTCTTGACATCATTACAACACATATTGACCTACAAGTTTCGCATATTCGAGTACGAATGTCAAACTACCTTTATTAAAACTAATAAGTAAATTAATGAATAAGAACTAAATTATTCATTGTCAATAACTTCAACTTCAATTATCTCTAAAACTAGAGTTTCAACTTTGAGTCAGCTTCAAAAAAATTCAGTTTCTGACCAATTCTCACCATTTTTACAAATAATGTGCACAGCTGTCTGTTCTATAATCTTATTAGAATGGATTTTTCCCAAACCCTACATGTTTGGAGTTATCAATTTTTTTTCTAGGTTTGGCGTATAATTCAAATGCCACATTGACGATTTTTTTTTACAGTAAATTAAACTGAAAACATGTATTCTAAATCTATGAAAATGAAGATCATATACTATTCTGAGAGCATAATAACACCAAAGGAATAATTGGTGATAGTTTATATTTTTGCAGCGGATTTCAAAATCTGATATTCTCAATATTCACTTTTATAATTATTTTTTATTTTCTTATTTTTTAAGTTACGTTTGTGATCATTTAGACAAAGTTGCAGGATTTGCAAGTATGCACAAAAAATTGGAAAGCATTATAGCAAATTTGAGAAACTGAACTTTTCCATCAGGTCCTGTCGTATATGCTCCCGAAATATGGCATATTTGGTTCTGAAACGCTATACGTGCTAGTAGCTTTACAAGAATGGTAATTTAACTTAATTTCTATATTCTCTCTTAACCCCCCAATGTAACTTCTTGTATATAAATAAATAAATAAATATGTATGCCATGCACAGCTTAAGGGTTAATACAGAACTGTACTGAATAAAATGTATATAATGTCAAACTAACAATAATAATATTTTTAATAAAACAATTTGTAAGTTGATTCTATTAGAAATGCAGCTGAGAGACTTGCTGTAAAGTTAAACATAGACAATTTCAAGGCTAGCACTAAATAGGTATGTCGATTTAAAGAGAGTTAATACATCATTAACATGAAAATTTGTGGCGAGGCATTAAGTGTAGATGTTGGAAGTGCTAATGCATATAAGCATAAACTTTCTCAGCACATGATATCTAATAATCAAAGCTGGTTTTAAGTGTACAAAGCAGATAAAAATGGCTTTATCTGAAAGATATGTATATGATAAGATATATGATAAGACATTTAACTGAAACTATATATTATGAAAGATATTTTAATGAAGCTCACAAGAAAGAAACAAACTAAGATTCAAAAGTTTTGGTATGGTTTCACAGTAGGCCTACAGGACCAGCACCCAGCACTAGCAAGGACTCACCTTCCGAGGATGCCCAGGCAACTGGACCAGCACCCAGCACTAGCCATAACTTACCTGGGAGTACCAATTGAGCTGTACAGCACAGTTCTAATGACATTAAATGTACAAAGTGTAGTTTATATGATACAAGTGTACTGCGGTAGTGTGATTCTAGTGGTCTGTACTTTATGTACAGACTGTAGTGTATAATGTACATTTGTTAGAAAAGTTACTGTTCTTTAAACAATTTATATTCATATGTGTGGCACTCTCAGGATATTAAGGCTAACAAAGTTTGCACTACAAAACTCAACTGGTAGGGTAAGTACAGTACTGTAACGTGCAATATCAATTTATTTCATTGCAATACAAATTCTTTATTATTTAAATTTTTCATAAGGCAAATGTGGACTGGCATATGTATTAATGTGATTGTATTTTTTTTTTGGGGAAGGGGGGAAAGGGAGTTGCTGGGGCCGAACGGATGGAATGAATTCCACACTGGAATGAATCGGCTATGCCCCATATAGTTCATTCAAGCGAGTACACACATTTAATTTCTACATTTACTATCAACATTTAATGTCATCTAATTTCATGCATTTCTTTGATAAAGTGTTTACTCGTGTCCTTTATGATCTTGGTTATTTGAAACTGTTGGCCAAATTAACCTTAAATTATAGTATGTTACTCTATGTTCAGATATGTTCAGAGAAAATGTTATGAAGAATAGTTCACTTGCTTTTCTAAATTACACCTTGTATTTCCATTCTATAATTAATGTAAATAAACTACTGTACTGTTGCTAGAACTACTGACTCCATAATGTAATAGTCTATGCTTGTCATCCTTAAGTATCACCTTCTTTGTATTAATTTTTTATTTTCCTTGAACATTCTCATTTTGTTAGCTTACTTCTCTAATAGTATTAAGTGTTTTATCCCATCACAACTTTAATTAAAAAATTTCTATATTATTATTAATTTTGCCCGAAACGCTTTGCGTAATAGTGGCTTCAATAGTATGTGTAACTTCTGTCCCTTCAATTGAACAATATTCTTATGTTCTTTGTACACACCATCTTTTGAATAAATAATAATATTATTATTATTATTTACACAGAAAATCACACAAAAGTGATATACATCAATGAGAAAATTCCCTCGGGCTGTGAGATGATGCAAACCTGCAATGTTTGCATTACCTCACAGCCTCAGTGGATAGTTCATTGATGTATATCACCTTAGTGTGATTTTCTGTGTATCTGAAGTTGTGCATACAATGTTGAACTACAGTACTTTATCCTTCACCTGAGTGCTTGGGGTCTTACATAAAACTTGGACTGGCTTCAGGACTGTGATATCAGGATATCACAGACTTCCTGTGATATCAGTAGAAATCCGATTGTAAGAAAGTCAGTGGTGGTACAGTAGTAGAGTATGCAGAAGGCAATGCCTTGGTCATGGGTTTGCAACACCACACAGTCCCAGTGGAATTTCTCATTATTATTATTATTATAAAAGTTATCATTATTCGATAGGCCAATGTCCACACCCCAACAATGCCAGGCATATAATTTACCCCAACAATTCCACTGGCCTACATCTACACCTCCAACAATTCCATAGTCCTATTTCCATACCCCAACATTATTGTTGAAGAAAAAAAAATGCTGTTTGTTGACCAACTTGTATATTGGCTATTTTCTACCATGATCCCCCCTTTTTTCATCTTTTATTATTTTTCTTTTTTTCTTTCAATGCAATTATACTTTAAGCTTAATTACTATTAAGTTTTAGTCCAAGTGTTTTTTTCCCCACCTCACCTTGCCCAAAACGCTATGCGTACTAGTGGCTTTAGGTATTGTATGTACTACCTCTATCTTTAAATCAAACAGAATGTTTGTACTGTAACTCTGCAACTATGTATGTACTTTTCCTAAATAAATTTGTATTATTTTTATTATTAACAATTGTATGTTAGGGGTGTAAGACAATGTTGGAGCAGACAATGGTGGAGCAGAAAGCTCAGTACTCACTTTCCCCCTTCAGAGCAGGAGAGATTGCTGAAATAGAGGGAATACAGAGAA